AGTCTCCCAGAGATTTATTTACTTTCTTTCCTTTCCTCATTCCGCCCCCTTTCTTTCCTAACTTCTTATTTTGAAATAGTTTAAGACACACAATAAGTTGCAAAAATAGCACAGAGTTCCTAGGTACCTGTTGCCCAGTTTCCTCCAATGATAATATATATATATATATATATATATATATATTTTTTTTTTTTACAGGCAGAGTGGACAGGGAGAGAGAGAGAGACAGAGAGAAAGGTCTTTGCCGTTGGTTCACCCTCCAATGGCTGCCGCAGCTGGCGCGCTGCAGCCGGCGCACCGCGCTGATCCAATGGCAGGAGCCAGGTACTTCTCCTGGTCTCCCATGGGGTACAGGGCCCAAGTACTTGGGCCATCCTCCACTGCACTCCCGGGCCATAGCAGAGAGCTGGCCTGGAAGAGGGGCAACCGAGACAGAATCCGGCGCCCCGACCGGGACTAGAACCCGGTGTGCCGTCACCGCAAGGCAGAGGATTAGCCTAGTGAGCCATGGTGTCGGCCTTCCAATGATAATATTTTATATTACCAAAGAAGCTTGTAAAAACTTGGAAACTGGGGTGGGTTTTGGCACATGTTAAGCTGCTACTTGGGGTGCCCACATCCCATACTGGAGTACTGGTTTGAGTCCTGACTACTCTATTTGTGATCCAGCTCTTACTAATGCACCTGGGAGGGGCCGGTGTTGTGGCATAGCAGGTATCCCATATGGCACTTGATGGAGTCCCAGCTTCTCCACTCTGATCCAACTTCCTGCTGATATGCCTGAGAAAGCAGTGGATGGCCCAAATGCTTCAGCCCCTGCACCCATGTGGGAGATCTGGAAGATGCTCCTGGTTTTAGCCTGGCCCTGTACTGGCCATTGTGGCCATTTGGGGAATGAACCAATGGATGGAAGATCTCCCCCTCTCCCTCCTCCTCCCCCTCCCATCCCTCTCTCTCTCCCTTTCTCTCTAACACTGTCTTTCAATAAAATAAATACATCTTTTAAAAAATGTACCTGGCAGGGGGGCCGGCACGGTGGCACACTAGGTTAATCCTCCACCCGTGATGCCGGCATCCCATATGGGCGCCCGGTTCTAGTCCTGGTTGCTCCTCTTCCGGGAAGGCAGTGTTGGATGACCCAAGTGCTTGGGTGCCTGCACTGCGTGGAAGACCAGGAAGGAAGCTCCTGGCTCCTGGCTTCGGATTGGCATAGCTTTGGCCATGGCAGCCATTAGGGAGTGAACCAACGGAAGGAAGACCTTTCTCTCTCTCTCTCTCACTGTCTGTAACTCTACCTGTCAAATAAATAAATAAAAATCTTTAAAAAAAAAATGAACCTGGGAAGCAAAGGATGAAGGCTCACGTACTTGAGTTCCTGCCACCATGTGGGAAACATGGATGGAATTACTTCCAGCTTCAGCTTGGTGCAGCCCTGGCTGTTGCAGGCATCTGGGGAGTAAACCAGTGGATGGAAGATCTCTCTCTCTCTCTGCCTTCCAAATAAGTAAATATTTGGAGAATAAATTTTAAAAATTTTGGAAACTGACATTGGTATACTATTATCAAGTGAGGGGCAAACATTATTCAGATTTCACCAGTTGTTACATGTATGCCTTTTTTGGGGTGGGGGTGTACAGTTGTATGAATAGACTCCCATGTAGGTGGAAGGATTATTACTTGAGACATCAGCACGGCCTTCCAGGGTCTGTATCAGCAGGAAGCTGGAATTTAGCACCAGAGCCAGGACTCAAATCTAGGCACTGTGATACGGGATATAGACTGTAAAAAATTACATATGTATTTATTTATTTGAGAGGGAAAGACATCTGCTGCCTTCCCAGGCACATACTGGACCAGAATCAGAGAAGCCAGGACTTGAATTAGAGGGGGAGGGGGAGGGGGAGCAGAAGAGGGAGGGGGAGAAGAGAGGGAGAGGGAGAGGGATGTCAGCAGTGACCCTTTCTTTCAAGTCTCTAGGGAGGAAACCTGCTTTGCTTTCTCCAACTGCTGGTGTTGTTCACAATCCTTGGCATTTCGTCACAGTTGCATCATTCCAATCTCCTTTTCTAATCATATAGCCCCCTTCCTCGTGTGTCCAAATCTCCCTCCCTCTTTTTAAAAAACATTTGGTTATTTATTTTGAAAGCATTAGAAAGAGTGAGGAAAAAAGAGAGAAAGAGGGAGAGAAAGAGAGAGGGAGAGAGAGAGAGAGATACCGCCCATTCTTCACTCTCCAAATGGCTGCTGCAATGGCAGGAGTTGGGCCAGGCTGAACCCGGGGGCCTCGAACTCCATTCGGGTCTCCCACGTGGGTACAGGGGCTCCAACACTTGGGTCATCTTCCACTGCTTTCCCAGGCACATTAGCAGGGAGCTGGATTGGAAGTAGAGCAGCTGGGATTTGAACTAGTCCCTACATGGGATGCTACTGTCGTAAACTGTGGTTTAACCTGCTAAGTCACGACACCTGCCCCATTTCTCTCTCTTCTAAGGACACTAGTGATGGACTTAAGTCCACTCTACCTTAGTATGAACTCATCTTAACTTGATCACATCTGTAAGATCCCATTTCCAAATAACATCACATTCACAGGTACCAGGGATTAAGACTTCAATGTGTATTTTTTGGCAATACAAGTCAACCTGAAAAGCTATGTATATAAAACCAATTATTTTCCTTCTTTCCCTTTCCTCCTGTTTTAGATAAGGACTGTTGGTGGTTATTTGAGATTTCTTTCTTTTTCTGTTAGTTTTATTGGTGATTGTTAACTTTACAACGTAGCTTACTGAATACCCAGGTAGGCTTGTGACTGAATTGGAAGTGGAGTTAATATGTCCAGTTAGAGATAAGGTAATGGATACAACTTCATGCCTTCTCCTCTAGGTGCAGAGAGGGAGGTGGGTGTGAAGGAAAGCAAGATGGCTGCATCTCATCAGGAACGTGAATTATGGTATAAAGGTGAAAATGGCACTTCTCTTGGAAAGATTAGACTGTTCCTGTTCTATGTGGGAGGCTGCTGGGAGGCTGCCTGCAGAGAGGAGAAGCCATTTTTTGTTTCCCGCTTCTGGTGAACCCAGAAGCTTCTGGGTTCCTACACAGGAGGGCAGTTCCAACAGCTGCAGGGTCAGGGTGTGCCCTGCATTGTAGAGGTCTGACTTCAGCAGTGGCCACGACAACGGTAGGTGACTCTGGGCTCCCAGTCTCAGCATCAGTGTCAAGGTGGGCTCCCAGCTTTCAGCTTAATAGCAGCAGTTCCAGAATCAGTGGGTGTTGCTCCAGGAGCAGTGATGCAGTGATTACTCAAACTAGGAAACAGCACATTCTCTTTTGTTCCCCCAGTCCTCGGGGGTGGGGATGTTTTCTCTTGGCTTCTGCAGCCTTTCAACAGTTTGGCAAATAATTTTCTGTGCTAAATGTCTTGTCTTTGAATACTTAGTGATGTAGGCATTCCTAAATAGACATTGACTGATACATAAGTTCTTGATCATTGAGCTACCTTTGCATCTGGTATAGTGGTTAAGATGCTGCTTGGGATAGATGCATTCCACATCTGAATACCTGGGTCGCTGTTTCAGCTCACTTCCTGTTTCTGTCTTTCTGCTCATGCAGATCCTGGGAGGCAGCAGTGATGGTCAAATAGTTGGGTCCCTGCCACCCACATGGGGGAACCAGAATGAATTCTCAGCTCCTGACTGTGGCTGGCCCAACCAAAGGTGTTACTGACATTTAAAGAGTAAACCAGTAGATATGTGATCTCTTTCTTTGTTTCTCTCTCTCTCTCTCTGCCTTTCAAATAAAGAAACTAAATTTAAAAAATGGACTCTAGATGATGGAATGTAAGTGATATGTGCCATTTTAAGGCCAAGACTTCAGAGAAATGGGTATGGTCCCTCAATACTCTCCTCTTTCTTTAGCTAGACATATGTTAGGGGATGCCAAACAGCACAAGCCGCTGAATCACCATGAGATGAATATTAGCCTATTATAAAATTGGTAAATACAATTAAATTGTATCTGAGTCTTTAATATGTTTTGGGAGCTATCTGTTATAGAAGATAGTGTTACTCTAATAAAGTTGCTCTCTAAATTTATTATATATTTTTGTTTTCTAAAAAGCAGCCAGAAATTCACCCACCATCAAATTGTAGGTGAACAGAAAAACCACTTAATTTCTGTGGCAATCATTTTTTTTTAAATCGTATTTGTGTTTGAAGCAAAAGTCTTGAAAGTTTTAAATGTTCCTAAACAAATAGGCTGTGAGGAAAAGCAACAGTTTACGCTAACGATGCATCTGTGCTAGGCCAGGGGAAACTGGTTTTAAATCCTTCACAGCACAATGTCATTTAAGTAAGAGTAACCAGAAAACACTGTAAGACACCTCTTCCTTCCAGGGTTGTATTTTCCATTTAGGGACTGAATTATATCGTAGGTGGGAGTTGTTATTAATGGGCAAGGTGTGGAGTCTACCTATCACCATGACTCCGGACAAAAGGAAGATAAACCGCTCAAAAGGCTTCTCAACATTCAATACCATTCTGCTTAGCCAAAACCTGTGCCATTATTCACTCACTCGCGTTTGAAATGGTTTCGCCTTACATACAGATTGTGCTCAATCTGTGCTAAAATCGGTCCTATTCCTGCCCCCGTTAAAAGATGACACAAACAATATGGAATCGCAAATTCACTTAGAACACCTAGGAACAACAGAACGTAGTGAAAGACTAACCTCACTACAGCGGCTGCTTCGCGCAGCTCGGCTCGTATCCGCATCCTCACTTCCTCCAGCCCACCTCCAGGCAGGCCCCGCCCCCTTCCTCACAGCCAATGGGACGCGCGGCGCCATGGAGAGACAACGCCCCCCCAGGACCCCCCCCCTTCACCGCCTCAGGCTGGGGTTGGGCTTCCAACCCCTCCACGGTGTTCCCGAAGGCGCGCATGCGCACTCTCATTGGGCCCTGGAAAGACGCTTAGGAATCGGTTTTCGTCTCCTTTCTTTCCCAGATCGCACGACTCTGCGAAACCCTTCCCACCTTATTATTGCTGAGGATCCCCCACCTCCCCACAGTCACTCAGAGAAGGTGCTGCTCCGGCCTTGGCTGCGGCAGTACCCGGATGTGGAGCCGCTCTCGCCCGGCGGGGACTCTGTGGCGGGGCGGAGCGCGGCGGCGTGCGCGGGGGCAGAGAGAAGGAGGCCCCTGGGCCCGGGCGCTGGCCGGACGCCGGGAGGTACCACCGCTGCCCACGGGGGAGGAGTCGGCGCCGGCGCTCGGGCGCCCACCCCGGAGCGAGGGGCCGGGGGAGGATAGAGGCCGGCAGTTCGGCTTGCTCCCCGCTGTCCTCGCCGTCCCCCCTGGGCCAGCCTCCCCCGGCCCTCTGCGCTCCCCGCGCTCCCGGCCGGGGGAGAGCGAGGTTTCTTGGCGGCCGTCGCTGTAGCCCGGCCGGGGAGCCCGGAGGAAGCGAGAGAGTCCCCGCCCACGGCCCCCTCCTCACTGCCCCTTAGCCGCCGCCGCCCGTGAGCCGCCGCGGGCGGGCCTCCAGTCCGAGCGGGGGGCGCGGCGGCGGCGGCTGGGCAGCGGCTGTGGGCTCCGCAGGGACCGCGCCGCCGCCCCCGTGAGTTACTCCCACGTCCCCCGGGGCTCGCTGCCGCCCCCGCCGGCGCCGAGAGTCCGGCCTGGGCCCAACTCCCTCACGGGCCCCCCGGCGGCGGCAGCGGCAGCGGCGGAGCCCACCGCCCGGGCCCCGATGAGTAACTCCCGGAACAACCGGGTGATGGTGGAAGGCGTCGGGGCCCGGGTAGTGCGCGGCCCGGACTGGAAGTGGGGGAAGCAGGACGGCGGCGAGGGCCATGTGGGCACCGTCCGGAGCTTCGAGAGCCCGGAGGAGGTGGTGGTGGTGTGGGACAACGGCACCGCCGCCAACTATCGCTGCTCCGGGGCCTACGACCTGCGCATCCTGGACAGCGCGCCCACCGGTAAGCCGCGGCCGCCTGGCCTGGGCCTGCGCGCGCCGGGGAAGGGGCGAGGCTGCGGTGGGCGTCGGGGCCTCCTGGGACGGGCCGGTGGTGGGACGCTTCACCCGCAGAGCCTGGCTGGAGTGAGCGAGAGGGCAAGGGCCAAAAGGGGATTTTAGCTTTCGTACTGGCGAACAGAAACTTGCAGAAAAAGGACCCCCGTGTTCCCAAGGGAGATGATCGAAGCACCAGCACCAGGATGCTTTCAAGCCTGGAAGACACAAAGCGCCCGGGAGGACAACAGATTCAGTCCCTCTCCCTCTCCTCTAGGGGAGGGGGCCTGTCTAAAAAGCCATTGAAATTAATCAGCCACCAAGTGATAACTATCCAAACGGACGCTTGCCTTGCCATATGGTGCTTAGCTACCGAGGGGCCCTAGTACCTTAGATCTGTAGAGATACTTGTAATTTTTTTTTTTTTTGCTGCCTGTGGTACAGAATGACTTGGAAATCAATAACTGAATGCTACTTAACATTCTGTGCAATTATTTTAATTCTGAATTGTTTATTTTTATATATTTAATATCAGTAGAGAAGTCTGAGTTCTTGAGCCATTTCTTTGTGTGACTTCTTCCAAGTGGAAGACAAGTATAGAGGCCACCTGGTACTCTTTTTGTTAACATCTCCTCTCAGTATGATAATGTCAAAGTCTTGTCCATTCAGCCAGGAATGAATCAGGGTTCTTGATTAAGATTCGCTGAGGGTGTGTTTGTCATTTACTCGGGAATTTTTTAATATGGTAGACTAAAGGCTTATTTTAAGAGGGAGGGAGGGAGGGAGAGAGAGAAAGAGAAAATCTGAGAGAGAGAGAGAGAGAAAGAGAAAATCTCCTGAGAGAGAGAGAAAGAGAGAGAAAGAAAGAGAAAATCTCCTATCTGCTGGTTCATTCCCTGAATGCTGGCAATAGTCAAGGATGAGGCAGCCTAGAATTCAGTCCAAACTGGGTCTCCTGCGTGTGTGGCAGGGACCTCAACCACTTGAGCCATCACCAGCTGCTTCCCAGGATGCACATTAGCAGGAATCTGGAATCTGGAACTGAGTTGGGTGGGATTCAAACCCAGGCACTCTATTTTGCACTCCCAAGTGATGTTTGACTGCTATTCCATGTGCTTGCCCCTCTAATTTAATTTGACCATTTTCACATAGATTCATCCTTGCAATTGTGTTTAGTAGAAAATGGTTCAAATTCTGGATACTTTTCAGAATTCCTAAATGAGCTGCTTCTGAGACATGATTCTTGAAAACTTTTTATTTCTTTTTTTTTTTTATATGAAAAGCAGAGTAACAGAATAGGACAGAGTGAGTTCTTTGATCTCTCCTCAAAAATCCCTTTAAGAGCTGGTAATGGGCCAAGCTGAAGGTGGGAGCCAGGAACACCATCTGGGTCTCCATGTGTGTGGCAGGGGTGTAAGTGCTTGAGCCATGATGTGCTGCCTCCTTGGGTGTGCATTTAGCAGGAGGCTTGATGGGAAGTGGAGGAGTTGGGACTTGAACCTGCCCTCCTGAATAGGATGCTGGTGTCCCAAGAGGCAGTTAAACTCAGTGTGCTGTAACACCTGCCCCAGACATTATGATTGAGTCTGACAAAGCCTAACAAATTTTGAAATGAGCTCATAGTTATTGTTAACAACAATAAAAAGGAAATTAGCATAAGCCAACTCAGTTTTTTCAGCAGGTAGTTAATACAATTGTATATATTAGCTAGCTTTTTTTTTTTAATATTTATTTATTTGAAAGTCAAGAGTTACACAGAGAGAGAAGGAGAGAGAGATATTCCATCTGCTGGTTCACTCCCCAAATGGCCACAATGGCTGGAGCTGGGCCGATCCGAAGCAAGGAGCCAGGAGCCAGGAGCTTCCTCTGGTCTCCCACATGGGTGCAGGGGCCCAAGGACTTGGGCCATCTTCTACTGCTTTTCCAGGCTACAGCAGAGCTGGATTGGAAGTGGAGCAGCCGGGACTTGAACCAGCTCCCGTATGGGATGCCGGCACTGCAGGTGGTGGCCTTACCCACTAAGCCACAGTGCTGGCCCCATTAGCTAGCTTTTTAAACATTGAAGATGTTTGTGCACGGCCAAAAGAATATAAAGTTTCAGCAGTACAAAAAGAGACCAACATTGTTAACAGTTTCTTGTGTATTCTGAGAGAATACTCTATACATTACCAGCACATAAATGAATGTACTGAAAATATAAATCCATCCTTCTTAAGTATAAATGTTTATAAGCCATATTCATCTGCACTTTTCTTTCATTTAATAATTGTTCCACACATGGATTTTTACCTTATTCTTTTTTTTTTTTGACAGGCAGAGTGGACAGTGAGAGAGAGAGACAGAGAAAGGTCTTCCTTTGCCGTTGGTTCACCCTCCAATGGCCGCCGCGGCTGGCAGCGCACCGCGCTGATCCGATGGCAGGAGCCAGGTACTTATCCTGGTCTCCCATGGGGTGCAGGGCCCAAGCACTTGGGCCATCCTCCACTGCACTCCCGGGCCATAGCAGAGAGCTGGCCTGGAAGAGGGGCAACCAGGACAGAATCTGGCACCCCAACCGGGATTAGAACCCGGTGTGCCGGTGCTGCAAGGCGGAGGATTAGCCTAGTGAACCGCAGCGCCAGCTACCTTATTCTTAAATAGTATATCAGAGACTCAATGCAGTAATTTATTTAGCTGGTACTTTATTGATGGGCATTTATATTGTTTCAGATCTTTTTATTTACAGAGATGCTGTGAATACTTTCTTGTAGGTATATCCTTGTGTATATGTACTGAGTACTTCTGAAGTAGAATTGCTTAATGGAAGTGTGTAGATTTATAGTGTTTTGATAGATATTGGCTCATTGCTCTTTTAAGACATTTTACCAACTTAACACTCCTAACAGCAGTGTATAAGGCATATGCCTACTTCTGCACACTCTTTAAAAAAGTTTTATTATCATGTTTGCTTATGTTAAAGTCTGACCACAACTCAGTAATTAGGGGGAATTCTTTAATCAGTGATTGTAGATTATGGGAAAATTTAAATACCTTTCTAGGGTAGTGGTAAAGTGTGATGGATCCTGTACTACAGTGATTTTTGAGGGGATTATTAATGTCTACATGTTTCGTAGTATGAAGTGTAACTATCACATTAACAGTTTTATTATCTTAATATAAAAGCGGTGTTTTTCAGGGGCAGCTGTCTTAGAATCTTTGGTTAGTTTATAAGATAACTGAATATGTTAACCTATGTGTAGTAGTTCCTTTTGTTCATCAGATTGTTTTAGTGAACTTTATTTTTTTAAAAAGTTTGTTTATTTGAAAATCAGTGAAGGAGAGAGGGGGTTAAAGCAACCACTTGCATCTGCTTGTTGGTTTGGTCCCTAAATGCCTGCCATAGTCAGGAATGGGCAAGAACCTGGAACTCCATTCGGGTCTCCCACGGAGATGGCAGAGACTCAAGTAGTTGATCTAACATCTGCTGCCGCCTAGGATGTGCATTAGTGGGAAGCTGGATTGAAGGAAAGTAGCCAGGACATCAGGCACTCTGATTTGGGATGCAGGATGCAGGAATCCCAAGTGGTGGCATAATGTGCTATGCCACACACCTTACCTAGCAGACATTTTACAAGGACTTTTAGAATAGCCAGCCCTCATAGGAGATGTTTGTTGAAATGTATTTTAATTTCTAAGGTTTAATTTGTTTCAGTTTTTAGATTTTTTTTTTTGGTATGGGATTGAATAACAAGAGCAAACTCTTGGCTTTTTTGTCATGGCTCCAGGAGTATACTACTGCCAGTGGTTTTTTTTTTTTTTTTTTTAACATTTAATCTTTAGTGTCCATTGACATTTTATTACATTTTGCAAGACTTCAATATTTATTATAGTTAGTACATATTTATTTTCATAATAGTTAAAATTTAAAAATTTAACTTTTCATTTTGAAATAATAAAAATGCAAAACTAGAAGAGCTCCCTTTTGCTCTTCATCAGTCTTCTTCACATGTTGATACCCTATAGTGATCAAAATCAGAAGTCAGAAAATTAACACTAGTACTATGGCGTTAACTGTAGATCTTATTAAAATTCCATCAACTTGCTCATTGATGTTCTTGTGGTCTTTTCCAGTCTGGGCTTGTGCCTTTGTCATTGTCTTTCATGACTTTGACACTGACCAATAGTCTTGTAGACTGGTCCTCAGATTTGGGTTGTCTGGTTTCCTCATGATTAAAGTCATGTTACATGTTTTGGGCAAAGGTACCATAAGAATGGTCATTTGCTCTTATTGACTCATGTTGGGAAGTACATAAGACATACCCATATGTCTTACTAATAATGATATTTATTTGGCTACATCATAGCAGTTTTGCCCTCTGTTGCTTGTGTACAGTCAGTGCAATGCCAACATGAAAAGTGTGAATGATATTTTATGTCTTATTATGAAAATATTTTTGACTATATTGAGGCACATAAAAGGGTTTTGAGAACTTGCCTGAGAGTTTAAGTGCCACACTTTAAAAATCACTTCCATTGAGAGAATTTCTCATTGAACACAGAGAAGCTTGTATAAGAATGTTTGCAGCAGTATTATATATAAAAGAAAATTGGAAAAAAGCTTCATCAACAGGAGAATGGATAAGTGAACTGTGTGAATTTGTACTCTGGAGTATTGTACAGAGGAGAAAGTTAAAAAAAATTTTTTTTATTTGAAAGGCAGCGATACACACACACACACACACACACACACCCAAAACATCTACTACCTGGTTCATTCTCCAAATACCCATATCACCCAGAGCAGAAGCCGGGAGCCAAGAGCTCAATCCAGGTCTCCCATGTGGGTGTCAGGGACCCAGCTAGAGACATCACCTGTTGCCTCCCAGGATGCGTGTTAGCAGAAAGCTAACATTAGGAGAGGGGCTGGTACTGGAATGCAGGCACATCTCAAGTGGTGTCTGTACCACTATGCCAAATGCCTGACCCGAA